TATTGATTATTGATTATTTAGGATGTGTCCGCTCTGCCTGCGTGCCTGAGGAACACCCTGAGTACAAATAAGAACAAATAAATCACCATTCTTTTCTCTTGGAAGTTTTTGGCAGGTGATTATTGATTTCAACTAGACGACGAATCCCACAGATAGAACAACAAAATTGGAAGGGACCTTGGAGGTCTTCTAGTCCAACCCCCTCCCTGCTCAAGCAGGAAACTCCATAGCATTCCAGACAAATAGTTGTCCAATCTCTTCTTAAAACTATTTCGGGCCTCCTGAGAGGGATCCCCAAATTTCCAGAGTAGGGGGTTTAGTTGCTAGTTGGGAAACTCAACAACCGGAAAGCGCTTCCTGGAGCCAGCCCACCCTGCCACCCCCGTGCCTTCTTTAGCGGGATGCCGCCATCTTGCCCAGAGGGGGGGTGCCAATCGGCTGTGGGGGCAGGGAAGGGGTGCTGATTCCACCCTCTTCGGTTCCAGTGAGGGGGACGGGAGGAGAGCATCTGAGCCTCAGTGGGTGGTCCCCCCTAAGAGCCACCCTCCCCCCTAAAGCCGAGCCCTGCCACGAAGGGAACTGGGGGGTCTTGAGCTTTGGGCCTCAACCGTCTCCTGGGGGCCCCAAAGAAACAAGGCCAGTCATGCTAGGCAGAATTTATTGGACTTTCTGGCCCATCAGGAGCAGCAAAACCAGATCCAGCTACAGAGAGCATCCGTTGAGCGAAGGGTGGGGGGTGGGGTGGGGGGCTTCCTTGCTTCTCCAGACTTCACACAGCTGCATCTTAACACTCTGGCGGGAACTTGCAGATGAAAGGGTATTTTGCTTGGCAGTCAATATTGTACCACTGAAGAAACTCTGGGCAGCAAAAGAGAAATTGTGATCACTTCTTGCAGAGATTCCCTGAGAGTCCCAGAAGATCTTTTCAGAGGCTCCTGGCTCATTTGCAGGAGGACATGAAGATACCACAGGTGGAGACTCTCATCCCCTAAAACAGGCTGGGGGTTCAACAGGTTCTTCTAACCCAGATAAGTTACCTGGCCCTCAAGTTTCATTCATGTCTTTGTCTCTTTTTTTATTTAATTTTTATTTATTTATATGTATCCAACCTTTTTACTTTACAACTCACCCAAGGCAGCAAACATATGCAACACACCTTCCCCCTCCTCTTTTCCCCACAACAACAACCCTGTGAAGTGGGTTGGGCAGAGAAAGGGAGGGGCTGGTCCAAAGTCAGCCAGTCGGCTTTAGCGCCTAAGGTGGGACTAGAACTCCCCGTCTCCTGTTTCTAGCCTGGTGCCTTCACCAGAGACCAAATTGCTCTTTTGATTGGTTTATGTGTTAATATTTCTCTGCAATACACAGAGACACATACACAAAATGTGTCCGAGGTTCTTCTCACCGCAATGGGGTGTTGAAGATTGATCTACATCTGAGCAAGCAAACCAGGAAGAAAAAGCCAGATGCCCTGAGACAATGATGGCCTTTCGGAACAAGGTTAAGATGGAGCTTGTTAGTTGCATTATGAGCTGATGGCCCCGTAATAATTTTCATTTAGAGCTCCAGTCCCGTTCTGAACGGTTTCTCCCATGGTTGTGTTGTGTTCCCTTGTCTGTGCAGAGTGTGGGACTGAGGCAGCTCAGAGATCCAGGAGGTCAAGAAAGGTCCCCAGTGGCCAAGGAGGGGGGGTTGCAAGAAGGATCCCCTGGGGTCCTCATGGAGGGAAGCACACCCTCCTTGATGTAACACAATGTGCACCACACCACATTGACTTACTTGTCCATCTAGACAACCCTTGACACATTTGGGATTCTCCTTTATTCCAGTTTACGTAAATGATGCTGGAGCCATCG